GACCGCCGGAGCCCGCAGCCGGGAGCCCGACCGCCCCCGCCGCCGAGGTAGGAAGCCCCCGGGCGTCGCGCTGTGGGGACAGGGACCAGGCGGGGGGGCTGGCCTGTCGCGCGGGGACGGCGGGGGCTGCGGGGTCCGAGGGTCGCCTCCCCCTTCCGCGTCCGCGCCTCGCCCCGGGCCATTGTGAGCCCTCGCCGGGGCCCCTGCGCTCGCTCCCTTGCTCGCTGGCTCGCGCACTCCCTCCCTCGCCGGCTGCCCGGCCCCGTCCCTCCGTCTCTGTCTTTCTCCTCCCTCCCTCCCTCCCTCCGTCCGGAGGCCGGGCCGAGCCACGGCCGGGCCCGGGGCGGGAGCAAACTTCGGCGGGAAGTTGGGCGGCCGCAGTGGGGGCGCGCTGCGGGATGAGAGGGGGCCCCCCGGAGCCTGGGCATGAAGTTGTCTGGGGCAGCCGGGGCTGTGCCGGGGCTGCTTCTAGGACGAGGTTTGAAAGGTGTCTCATCCCTCGTCCCGCAAGTCTCCCCCTGCTGCCCCCGGCTAGCCCCAGCCCTTCCTTGGGCCGGGGGAAGGAGGCATCCCAGAGGTAAGGATGAGGGTGCTGCCGCGTCAGGGCTGGTAGCTGGAGTCCTGTCCAGCACTTGTTCCTCCCCTGCCGTCTGGGTGGAAGCAAGAGGGCCTGGCAGAGTGGGGAGAGCGGGGGTATCCAACCCGCCTGAGGGAGGGTCTGGAGGGGGCGGGGGAGGGGGCGAGGCAGGTGCATCCCGACTGAGAGAGATGCCTGCGCCCTGCTTCCCCGCTGGCCCCCTGGGATGGGGTTGGAATCCAGGCTGGCACCTGGAGGCCTTGGCACGCTGCCCTGCCCAGCCGGGTTCTCAGGCCACAGCAGGGTAGCATGCTGCCTGTCCAGGAGTGCCTGCCTGGCCTGGCCACCAGGCAGCGATGGTTGCAGGGAGCTGCCTGGCCCTGCCCTGGGGCCTGGGAAGCGGGAAGGGATCCTGGGAGGAGCCCTGGGCCCTCAGCCATCTCAGCCCAGGATCTTGGCTCTAAAGGGAAAGCTTGACACTGAGGGGGCAGCCAGGCCAGCCGGGGACCTGGCCAAGGCCTGGGCTCCCGTGGTGCTTGGTCTGGGCCAGGAACAGGGCCTGAGCTGTGGTCCTTGAAGGCAGCCATCCTGAGGGTCCTACATGCCTGTCCTGTCATCCTGGAGGGAAGGCGGTGCTTAGCCGGCAGCTAGGGAAGACAGCCCAGGAGACACTGCTCCCCAAGGGCTTCCTCAGCCCCCAGGCTCAGGGAAGGGGAAACTGGCCCCTTCAGTCTACCCAGGCGCCCAGCCCTCCCCAAGCCCCACTGTGGTGCCACAGTGCCACAGCTGTTCCAGCCCAGCCCACACATCCCTCCCCATGACCTCGGAGCCTTCCCCCTCTGCTCCTCCTTCTTTCCTCGGGGCCCAGGCCTGCCGGGCCTTCCAGCTGGCCCTGGCTCGCACTGGGGGAGGGGCTGCACCTGGGGACAGGACACCCCTTTCCGAGCTCCAGCCCAGCTCATTTCACAGCCCACCCTCAGCTCCACTTGGCCCTGTCTGCAGCCAGCCAAGCAGGAGGCAGTGCCAGGGGGTTGGAGCACCCTTTATTGGGGTGGAGACCCCTTGGAAGCAGCCCTGTATTCCTTAGCCCCTTCCCCTCCTCCTCCTTTCCAGAGCTGCCATTACCGCTGACCCTCTGACCCCCCCATGCCTGCCCGCCCTTCCCTGTCTGTGACCTTTGACCTTTGGTGTTAAATCCCTCCAGCTGGGTCTCTTTGGCCCCTGAGTGACCCTGGCGCAGGCCCCCTTGGGGGCCTCTCCCTACTCCTGGCTGTCTACCCAGGGACACCTGCCAGTCCCTCCTTCACCGATGGGGCGGGGGTGCCCCAGAAAGCTAGACAGTGAGTCACCCCATTTCCAGGCACCACTGCTCTTGGGGTCAGTGGCTTTGGGGGATTCACTGGAGCTGGGCCACAGCCTGGAGAGTGAGTGGGGAAAGCCCCTGGCCTGGGAGTCTGATGTCCTGGATTTGAGTTTTGGCTGGGCCACTGACTCCCAGCAGTCCTTGGGCCAGGCTCCTCCCCTTTTTGGGTCTCAGTTTCCTCATCTGAAAAAACCAAGGGGTCAGACAAGGTGAGCTTCCTGAGCTCCAGGGTCCAGGAGAAGACTGGAGGAGGGAGGGGCTGAGAGCGGGGATAAGGCCAACAAAAGCCAACTCTCAATTATCCGTGGGTGGAGCCAGTATGAATAACTGGATGCCACAGACATCCCAAAACCTCATTTTAAACAATCGTGTGAACCACGTCCCCCCAAAGCTTTTGTTATTTCTAAAAAGCCCAGCTGCAAACGGGTAGCCGGGTATCCGTAGCCGCAGCGCTGTCTTCTCCCGCCTGGGCTCCCTCGCGGGGAGTGCCCTCCACAGACTGGCCTGAGGAAGACCGAGCTCTGCCAGGGCCCCTCCTTGGGGCCTGTGGGGAGGTGTGGACCCCTCTCAGCCCCACGGGCGGCCCCCATTCTCCCCTCTTCCCTCCTTCCCTGGCCTTGGCCCCAGGCGGTGGGAGTGTCTTCTGCCACCTAATCCTCCCAGGGTCTGAGCTTTGGTCTAGAAGGAAGACTGTTTTCCTAACAACATTTTCCCATGTGCCTTTCCATCTACCCTACTCGCCTGGAATCCAAATTTCCCACATGGGTGAGGGGGCGGGGACGGGTGCCTGGCAGAGTTTGGGGCAATCCCAGGATTCAGGATGAGGGAGGGTGGCAACAGCTGTGGCTGGGGCACCAGATGTTGGGGATGGGCCTGCAGTGGAGCTCTTGGGGAGGCATTTGGGGTGGAGCCCTGGGCGTTGGGACGCACGCTGGGGTTGGGGGCAGACAGCTGCTCCTGGCTCTCCCCTCCAGCAGGGGATGACTCCCCAGGGTCCTGTGTCCTGGAGGAGGCTGAGGAGGCCCCTCACCCAAGTGGGAAATTCGGATTGCAGTGGAGAGGCCCTGAGCTGGGTGGAATGGGGGGCCCTGCCTTTTCCGAGGCTGTGGGGAAGCCTTCCTCTATTTGGGGTTATTGTCATTTTATATTTCACACAGATAGATGACTGAGGCCAGAGAGATGACCCTGGAAGGTACTGGGTAGTCCTCCCTTCACCCAGATAAGTGCCCTTCTCAGAGGTGGGGAGTATCCCTAGCTGGTGAAGGGGGACTCAGGCCAGCCAGAAAGATGCTCTCCCCCATCACCCTGAGTTGCTTCCCCTCCCAGGGCTTGTGAAAGGGCCTCCTAGAGATGGGCTGCAGCCTAGACATGTGTCTGGAGGTTCACCTCTCTGAGAGCACCAGGGCCAGGCGCAACGGGATACCCAGCCTTGCCCCAGCCTGCTGCCAGCTCAGGGTGTGGGGGACCACAGCTCTTGCAGGGCCCTTGGGACACATCTGCCCCAGTGGTTTCCGAGGTGGCTGCCTCAGCCCCACCCTGGGAATTCCCATTCAGGTGTGGCGAGGGCGGGACTCAGGGTTTTCAACCAGGACCTCTAGGGCTTTGCTGATCAGCCAGGGTTAGGGATGCGGGACAGGAAAAGACTTGCTGGGGGGGCACAGCCTGGAGTTGACCCAGGCTTCTCTCCTGGCTCCATCTGAGCCCTGTAAACCTCTGCTGTCTCTCCAGCTACTAAGAATGCCAGCTTAGGTCCCCAGGGGTGGGTGTGGGCGTAGGGAAGTGGGTCAGGGGACGGAGCAGCGTGGGAGGATGCCTTGTGACAACTCTCTGAAAAAATCAACACAGTGCCTTCCAGTGGCCCAGTGGACTTTGTGGGCGTTGACATCTGTCACCTGAAATTGCCACATTAACCTTGTGAGAGAGATCCATTGATCCCTGTTTGACAAATGAGGAAACTGAGGCTCAGGATGGAAAAGGGCCCGTGGGCATCTGGGCTTGCTATGGCTGGCCGTGTGTGTATGTGTGTGCGTGCACGTGCGTGTCTGGTGGCCAGCTTCCCAGGCTGAGGAGGGTCCCTGCTCTTGAGGGGAGCCCGAGCTGGCCCCAGCAGCTGAGTGCACTGGGGCCCGACCCTCCACGCTGATCCTTGGCCTCAGCTCCAGACCACTCCATGGGGGAGGAGAGGCCTGGCACAGGTCTGCAGGGGTCCCCAGCGCTCCTTCCCATTCCTGCTCTAGGGCTCTGGGACCCTTCCAGGGGAACTCTGGGAGCCTCCCACAGCCAGTCCCCAGGGAACCCCAGAGGTCTGACCTGCCATCCTGGCGTCCTGGCTGAGATGTTTCTCTTCGAGCTCCCTCAGACTGGGTAAGGGAGAGGTGCTGGCTCTGGGCATCTTGAGGGGCGGGGAGCTCTGGCCTTCCACTCCCCCTCCCCCTCCCAGATGGGATGAAGGGTTCTGGTTAACTGGTGGCCAGGCTGGGAGGAGCCTGGGGGGCACAGAGATGGCAAGTGATTCCAGTCGGGGGGAACTTCCCATCTGCTCCAGATGCCCTGCTGGGGGACGGGCAGAGGGGGCTGACAATCTTCCAGTGCCAAGACTGGGGGCAGGTGGGGGGTAGGCTGGGGCTTCCTCAAGCCCTTTGTCTTCACTGCCTGAGAGGTCAGGTAGTACCTGCCACTGGCTCATGAGTGTGTGACGTGTGTGCACACGTACTCCTGCCTTGGCAGATGGCTGCCTGGGGAGGGGACTCAGACCTGGCCCCTGGCCCCCTCCTCCAGTCATGGCCAAGGGCGGGTGGGAGCCTGCAGAGGCCCCAAGAGGCTGCTGAGCTGCCTGAGTCAGCCCTGGGAGCCTCCAGGAAAACAATCTTGCCCGCTGACCGAGGGTCTCGTTTGCACAGTGCACTCACAGGCTGGTGCCCCATGGGGACCCTGGGAGTAATGAGGCTGCCAGCAAGGACTGGGGCGCCAGAAACTGAGCCTCAGAGATTTGAGGGCTTGGTCCGGGGACACTTGGGGTGAGGGAGGGACAGAGGGGGACCGGAGCCTAGGGCTGTCGGGCCCAGGCCCCTGGGAATCCCTGCAGCTCCACTCCTGCCTCCTCACCC